TTGTTTTGTTTCTTGACAAAAAAATGGGAAACCACAGCTCCATTGTTCAACAGTTTGTTGCTGAATTTCAATAAACAGAATGAGTTCAGGGGATCTGGCATAAACAAAAACAAATAGGCCTTGTGGAAGCATTTAGCCTGATTTCTCTACCTTTCAGAAGCAAAGGTATTGTGCAAATGCTAGTTTAAAGTCACAGTAATCACAGAAAAAACCCAATATCATTTACTTAACATCAGTGGATTTTTCAAATTAGTGGTCCCATAGCAAGTGGACTTTAGAGGATGAGTTTTGCAACTGGACTACTTGAAGGGAGACGGCATGTTTATCCAGACTAATCACTTATAATGAATCCATGTGCAGGCAGTGTCTTGAAACTACAAATAAAGCAAAAATCTAAACAAAGAATCCCTATCAGCAATACACTTGAATTGGTATTCCAAGAGCAAATTTATAGTTCTACTAGAAAACATGAAGGCCTCAGGTCTCTAGTTCTCTCAAAAAGAAATGACATTAAGGTAAATAAAATAGGAATGTAGAGAACACTAGCAACATTCTGCAGTGTTTTTAATTCAAAAGGGCTCCTTAAGGGATAGCAAAGCCACCACTGTACCAAAGTTCAATGCCAGAGATAAATTAACAGTTTCTTGGGCATACTATCCCCCCAAAGAACTCAAGTGATTGCCATTGGTTAGCTAACCATGCTATGCTACCCACGTGGTGAAGACTGCAGTATGAGTGTAAGGTGTGATTGTGTGAAATCCAGTGGCAAGTCTGCTTAAATTGTCATTCAATTTAACATTCATGCTGTGAAAGAGTGAACGTGTGAGTGACTAATATCAGATGGGGATGATAAAGGGGGATGCATTTCATATTCCAGCTCTTTTGTTGTTGTTGTTTTTTTGCATCTACGAATACAGCAACCAATTGCACTGCAGAAGGTCTACCAGACAGGCTAGTGCATGCACATCCTACAGTGCCAATCTTTTTTTTTTTTAAATATAAAAGACTTTCCCTCAAAATTATCCTCTTTCTTGGAAAGATCTAGTTGACTTCCAATGGCACCTCTAAGCCTTTCTGATATGACCTCAGAAAGTTAAAACACAGAGTAGTGCAGAAAAAGAACCTCATCTCTTTTCCAGTAATTCTAATCAACTGGACAAGCATCAAAGAGAATAAAGCACCTTATCAAATCAAGGGTACCTTCATGGAATCTCCTTCCTCCCAGAAGTGAACAAGAGCACAAGCTCTATTTTTGCAATTTTCTCACAAAGGCAAATTCCCAATATTTTGCCCGTCTCAGCTGCAATCATCTAACCCCTGTGAAACTTTGCTTCCCTCTTATCTGCCCCATGTACTGAGATGAACCTGTAAACATGTGAGCTCAATGATCTGAGGTACTTCACATAAAACTTACTCAAGTATCAGTCTCTTCTTTCAAAACATTAACATAGGGAAAAAATGATTGGAAGAAGTCACTCTGACTCTTCTCTCAATTTTGTGAACTTTTTTTTCCTCTCCTAAGCAGATGGTTTGACAGTAGCTACCTCTGAACAACATCACTGATTTCTTGTACACAAGACAATAAGTTATTAAGTACAGGATTTGCTCCAGATAGATTAGCAGCCATCGAGGATACCTGCAGTTCCTGCAGGCTAAGTTCCAGTTTGCTTACGGCTTCCCGGAAGGCAAATTTGTTGCGTGTTTGGGGGATGCAATCCACATAACCTGAACAGTAATCTAATAGTTGGTGCCCAGTATCTACCAGCTGGCTATTTGTGGTAGGCTCTGCAATGGCACTGGAGAAGAGGTCTGCACATTCCAGAAGCGCCTCTTTGCTGATCTTGTCTGCTGAGATTCTCTCAGCTGTCTGCTTGGTCTTTCTCAGAGCAACTTTAGCTCCCGCTGTGCCATTTGCCATTTTGGCAGGTGACGAAGACAATGGCAAAGGCACTTGAGGTGGAGGCATGATTGGCCTTGCAGCTTTTCCACCAGTAGGTGCCACTGTTACCTTTTTGCTGCCCTCACTATCTTGCCCGTGCTGTACCAATGCTCCATTATCCAACTCTTCTACGGTATCTGAGGTGCCTGAAGGCTGATGAAGGAGCCTCAGGACTGCTTGTGGTGGCGGCGGCGGCGGCGGAGGTGGAGCACACTTTGGTTTTATCCGTCTGGGTCTATCCCTGTCACTAGAAGCGGTGCCCTGATGCTCAGATAAGAGCTTGAACCGATTCCCCTGAGAGTCTGTGCCAATCAGCTGCACCTCAGCTGGTGTATGCTTCAGAGTAGGTGAGATAAGAACGGGCACTTTGTGATTATGAGTGGTTGGAAGTATTGCTGCAGCCTTGGCTGGAGAAGGCCAGCCTGGTTTTTCTTCCCCTTCTACTGAACCTTGTCGTATCCCACTGTTTTTTTCTTTGCTTTTCAGGCTTGCTGCTGCTGTTGGCCCTTGACAATCCTTCTCTGAAACAGATGTGTCCACAGAAGGAGTCCTGAGAGGAACAGCTGTAGCACCCCTCGGCAGCAGTTTAGTTTTTGGTCGGCTTCTGGTCAGCGTTTGAATATCTTCACCCCTTTTAGGGAGAAGATCATTGGACTTGTCTGCGTTCTCCTCGGGCTCAGAGGAAGTGGATACTGTCCTTTCCAGCTGAACTTTGGACCTGTGGCAATTTCGGGGAAGAGTCATTGCCATTCTCTCCTGCTCAGGAAGACCTGCAGACATGGAAGATGTGGAGTTTGATCGGGGAAAAGGTTTTGAAGCTTCATCACCTCCAGTGGGCCTCCCAGCTCGTAAGCCAAATGTCTTTTTAATCAGGCGAGGTGTAAAGAAGCCTGTGAGGCCTGACCAACCACTACCAATGCTTGTGCCCCCACTGCTGCTGCCACCGCCATCTTCCCCATAGAAGTTCCGCTGTGCAAAGCTCCCAATATAACACTTGGATAAGCAAAGATTTCCATCTTGCTGGGACGGAGTAAATGAAAATCCATCAATATGCTGCAATGGACCAACTCCGGAAAAATTACCCGTTAATTCATACTTCTTATGAGCCTGGTTTTCCATTTCACGGAAGGAACTGCTGCGTTTGGGAGGCGTAGGGGCATTTTTCTTTTTCATAAACGAGCTAAAGAAACCACCTTTTCTGTCTCTGGTAAAGGTAGTTTCTCTAGTATCTTCTAACAGGCCACTAGGTGACTTGTCTCTCTGTTTGCGAGGTAGTGCTGGGGATCCGCTGGTCTGCTGTGTGCTTCTGATAAAACCTAGACAAAAGAATAGAAAAGTCTGCTGCTCCATTTTTTAATTGGTCATGTTTAAGTATTGAAACTTTGTGTCTCCTTCACAGTGAAAGGAGAGGAAACAGCCTTGCTGTTCACCAGAGAAATACTGATATTTAACTTTTAAAAGAAATAGAAGACTGGTCTGCAGAATTATCCTTTTGGCCCAGCAAAAGCAGAAGAATTGATAAGGCTTAGGAATCTTGAGTCTGTGCTCTTTGCTGTGAGGGAAAGCATATTTAAAATGCTTCTTTTTCCTCTCAGTAATCAGGATACATGATCATGGACACATCACTGATATTTGGCACAGCCTTTCCTTCCTTTTAATTTCCTAGTTTTCTCTCCTTATCTTGACTCCAGTCATATTGATTTCAGATATTCCCTAGCATATTACACAAATGAGTAAATTCTCTGTATTACGTTGCTTAAATTTCTTCTGTTTTATTATGGTTATTACTGCATTCTTAGCAAGAAAAGCAGTTAATCTACAGTTGACTGGATTTGGGGAGGGGGGAATATTTCTATGACATTACTTTTCATACAGAAGTCAGATTCATTTAGGAGCTTGCATATTCAAACTGATCTAATATATAATCTACATAGATGACCATATATTCTGCTTCCTCTACCATCCATAAATACAGAGGGATGTATCTACTTTTTTATGACTATTCATCAGCAGACCAAATGTAATCTCCCATTTTAATTACTTATGGATATTTAAATCTGTTCCAGAAGATTCGTGCACCCTTCACATTAGATTTCAAGATTTTTGGAGGGCAGATGAGAAATCATGTGCTGCAATTTTAGTCGTAATCCAATCTTTCCCTTTCTTTGAAACATTATTTCCCAGGACCTGAATCCCTGAGTCTGGACCACTCAAAAAACATACCTGGAGCAGAACTGGATGCAGAGTGCTCTATGATCTCCTGTGCTCCTTCAATATTCTCTTTGTTTTCTGTTTGTTTTTTTAAGGTTCTAGTCTTGGAAGGAAGTATAGGTAACCGAGGCAAATATGGAACTATTGAAGAAGAGGATGCGGTCCTTCCAAGTTCTTCTGCCACTTCTGTAATAAGCATGCATGAAATAATTTGTATTCATTAATTACCAGATTGATTCAGTCAACCAAATCTAAGCAAGAGGAACATCAACTGAAGTCAATGCAACAATAAAATACAATGTGTACAACAAAACCAACATGGTACATGACTGCAATCAAAAGTTTATTATCAACCCATGGAAATGATTAAATGTTCCTTGCGAAACAAATGCCTTTTGAAACAGCAAAGTTTTTGGAATGTTATGTTGCCTCGAGGGCAACCTATTCCAGAGGTGTGGTGCTCTTACAAAGAATACTTATTTTGAGGACCGTTGTCACCATACCTTAGTTTGGATCTTTTGCATACATTTCCCATGCCCCCAGATTTGATGGGCAGATTTATATAGGATGAGTAGTCTTGAAGATATGCAAGGTATCTTCTGTGCTCCATCGAGGTAAGGCTACATTCAGTTCAATAACCAAAAGTGGACAAAGACTTTCCTGGTTATAATGTGCACCTACTGTTCTAACAGGAGCTACGAGTTCAAGAGAACCACCAAAGTGCCGGTCTGCTCCCAATGGGGAAGCAATTTCACTGAGAGTCAAAAATGATACAATCGATGTATTATGACAGACTTGGTGGGTTTTTAAATGAATACCCACTCTCTCCTGCCAGGGTTGAGTCTGAATCAGTTGCTCCACATCCGGGCCCTGACTGCCAACAAATGATGGATCAGGGCTTCTACTGCAACCGTCATATGACTAGATAGGGATGCACAACTAGATTTCATACTGCATAAATGGCACAATTAGGCATAAGACCAAGCCCTGAAGCAGCATGTGATGGATTGCACAAGAACCCATTCTATAATAATTGGACCCTCCCACACAACCACATGAATGAATGAATGAATGTATGTATGTATGTATGTATGTATGTATGTATGTAAGTAAATAAATAAATAAATAAATAAATAAATAAATAAGGTAGGTGGTCCAGTAAGTACCACATAGTACCAAATACTGCCAAAAGGTTTAGACAAGCAGAGTCAAGTGATCTGAAGATGAAAAATATGATTTCAATTGTATATCCAGGTGTAAATCCTGATTGCAACAAGTTTAGGCAACAGCTTTTCCTAAGCTCTTTGTAACTGTTACCCTACTGAAACAGCAGCAAAGGAAAGGGAAAAAAAGAACGCTGCAGCTTGTAATTCAGCAACATTTGGCCATGGTTTCATCGCTCTGAACTAGGGAAAAAGAATTTTATAAGACTAATTTAAACCATTATTCTCAAATTAATAAGTGGACTAGAGCACAACTAGCTGTTTGCAAGGAAAATTTATTCAATTATTTTGTATCATTGTTGATTAAAAAAAACATAGACGCACACTGTATGCTTTGGGAAGAAATACACACAAAAAGTGCATAATTACAATAAATGAATACATGCTTTGGCTTGCATATTCTTCGCCCCCACAATTAACAGATGAGGAAAAATAATAAACACAAGATTTAAAATCTCTTCCTTCGCACCTTAAAAGGAAAGTGAGAATGAGGATAACTCACAGCCTTAGATTTGTATGCAAGTCTTCTAGTTGTTCAACTACGGTATGCAATTCTAACATTTAGTATAGGTTTGAACTGGACAACTGTCTAGATTGTTTTATAGTAGAAATCCAGTAGCCTAACAAAAGGTACTCAAATTATTTTGATTACTTTGGGAAAGCAAAAAAAAAAAAAAAAAGCTTATTTCAAAAATATAATAGAAATTTCAGAATTAGTTAGCAAATAGGTCCTTACCTTCAGAGATGCTAGAATCATGAAACATGGTTTCAAAAGCTTGGTGAGTTTCAGCAAATGAAGGTCTATCTAGGGGACTCCATTTCCAGCCTACAACGTAATAAAAAGCAGCAGGGAATTACTATCTCCGTTAGAGTTAGCAATCTAATTCCCACTATTCTGGAGCGAAAGTGTCTTCCACTGTAACACTGGCAATATTTTTAAGGTTCTTATCATGGTTTATTGCATTCTATTTTCAAATATCTTAAAATTACTGCCAACGTTTCTGAATGTAAGAAATACCTTGATATAGCTGTGTATTCTGGTATTCCCTTTCTAATATTGATCAGCCAGATAAAGGGCCTGAAACTAAAAAATCTTCTTTACCTTCAATGTCTGGTATTCATGATGGTGAAGGTCCCGTTTATTTATGATGAATAATAGTTACCCATTCTCCACATATTTGGCTAAACTCAAGTAAGCTGCTGGCCAGAACAATGCTGAACTGCTACACGACAAATAAATATGCCTTTATTTACTTTGACTCTTCACAAATTTCTTCTAATGGCAGTAAATAGGTAATTGAAAAATTTTAGAACTCTCAAATACCATTTATAACCTAATTAAACGCAACTTTTTGGTCTTTTTTTCTGCCCAAAATAATCCAGATTCTTTAACTTTACCTTTTTCCCATTTGTAGAGTATGATATTTAACTTCCCAGCTGGTTTGTTGCTGTTTTTAGTGCTCTTATTTTATCCAGTTAGTTTTTAAAGGTAGACCTTGGGATTATCATTCCTTTCTACTTTAAAAGTTGTATTTATTCCACTTAATATCTTGAATAAATATTTCTGAAAATTTCAGCTGGCACAGATCATTGCGTGAAATACAGGTAGTCCTTGACTTACCACCACAATTTATCTCAAAATTTTGGTGGTTAAGTGAGTTTTGCCTCATTTTACGACCTTTCTTTCCACAGTTGTTAAGTAAATCACAGTACAATTTTTAAGTTAGTACCATAGTTGTTAAGTGAGTCTGGCTTTCCCATTGTCAGAAGATCACAAAAAGTGGGGCACTGCAACCATCCATAAATATCTGAATTCTGATCACATGACCTTGGGGATGCGTCAAAGGTCGTTAACTGAAAAATGGTCATAAGTCACTTTTTTCAGTGCTGTTGTAACTTTGAATGGTCAGTAAATGAATTGTTGTAAGTCGACGACTACCTGTAGATCTATAAAACTGATCATACTTATTTTTTTAATTTCCAGGTCTACTTCAAAGCACTGATCTTTAACAGAAAATTTCTTAATGGATTGACATATTTAGAATGGCATGTTAAGGCTTCCGGTTTCGCAAGGCTTCGGCGGCGGCAGGAATTCGCGATCCTCCGTGATTCCTGCTGCGCTCGCCGCCGAGGTTCCTCCGATCCGAACAGATCCGGAGGATAGGGCTGCCCTGTAGAGACAGCCGAAGAGAGAGGGGATCTGGATTTGGGTTTGGGGGTATCGCAACCCCCCTCCTCAGCCGGCAAAACCCCTTTTTCCCAAGGCGGTGGAGCGGCGGTCAGTAATGGCCGCCACAAAGAAGCCTGCAGCCGGGTAAGATTTGTGCTGGAGGAAGCAGGTGAAGGTGAAAGTTTTGGCTGAACCGGGACTACAAGAAACCTCTAAATACCCTGAAAACTGAATCATTTAAAGGATACATTGTTTCCCAAGGAACATCGTAAAAGCGGCGAAAAAAGCTGAAAGGGAAAGTTACTTTCTTTTACTCTCCCTTCCCACAGAAACAACACTTGGAAATCTGGAAAACCTGCTTGGGCATAGAAGGTAAACTTGAAACTTTAAGCCAAGGGGATAAAGGATTTCTGGACATTGGAATTAAAAACTTAAAATTCTTTCTTTTGTTATAAGTGGAAGGGAAGAGGCAAAGATTTGTTTTAAGACTGTATTGAAGGAGACTGCTTTGAGCTTATAAGATTAAAAATAAAAGATATTACGACTTCTAGAAGATTACTTTGGAACTGTGTATCTGAATTCTACCCTAGGAAGAGAAAATATAGAAAAAAGAAAGTGCTTAATGGAACTGTTTGTTTTGATTTGGTTTGCTTTGTGACTTTGGAATCTTTGTGAACTATTTCTTGAAAGATTAAAGATATTTGGGTTGTTTTTTTAAAAAGGGAAAAAATGGCATTATCTTTTGAAGATTTACAAATGGAATTTCAAAAATTGAAAGAAGAGGAACAGGAAGGCATGGGCTCTTCTGGATCTATTTTCTACTTTTTAGAAATGGCGATTTCTACTTATCAAGAAATACAACAGCGACAGGAAGACTGGGACCAAGAAGAAGAAGAAGAAGCCATCTTTAATGGACAGATACTTTTAGTGGAGGAAGAAAAGGGGGGTGAAGAAATGTTGAATTTAGGACTTTAAAAAGCAACTAAGAAAAAGAAAAATAAGATGAAAAATCTATACGATGTCAGAAAGCAACAGAAAAGAGAAATACAACAGAGAGGGAAGATTAAGAGAGTGAAACTTGAGAGATGGGGGGGTCAAAAAGCCAGAATTGATAAGAAAGGAAGGGAAAAAGGAAAGAGAAGTCATAAAAGCTTTAAACAAGATGTTAAAAAACAAGTTTTTTTTAGAGATAAGGGGTAAGATATAATTTTATAAAAATGATTCTGCAAAAGTACATAAGATTGTATGGTAGATATTAGTATTTGAAATTGAATTAGAAAATTAAAATATTACATGAATTAATAATGCATTAAAGAGAAGCTTGAAAATGTTTAAGATTTGATAATAGAGTTTAATTTGCTATGAAATATTGCTTTCATTATATTATAAACTTAATGTTCCTTTTTTTTGGTTTTACTATTACTTGCTAAATTTAATATTATTTGCTTGTCTTATTATTTTGAAACGTAGTACTTAGAATGTACGAAGCAGAATCAGTATGGAAAGTATGTATTATTTTAAGTGTAAAATTTAGGGGAAAGATAAAAAAGTTGTCATACTTCAACCAGGGGTTACAGGGAAAATATTGTATTAGAAAGGAAGGAAAAATAGATGATTGAAAGAGAACGGACAAAAGATGCAAGTATAATTATTTAAACTGAGATGAAATAAATAAAATAGAATTAAAAGAATGAATAGAAGAGAGAAAATATATAGAAAATATAGAATGTTAATTAAGATATGAAATAGTATATCATGTGAGCACGAATTTGATTTACGTCTGTACAAAAAGATCTAACCCGGGGTAAGCCACTTTCCAAAAAGAAGTTTTATGTATTTATGTTTTGTATAATGTTTACTTATGTTTGAAAGGATGTTGGAAGAGAACTAATGAAATTATATATAATGAATATACATAATTTAAGGTAAAAGAGCTACAATTAAATAGAAGGAAAGGGAGCAGTAAAGAGAAGTTGGGAAAGGATATGAAGTTGAACAGATAAGATAAATATATATATTAAATTGTGTTTGTATAGAAATGTGATAAGTTGGAATTATCTTGCTCTTTAAATAAGATATTCTATGGTTTTTTTAGGAAAAGATATTTTATGTTACTACATCCTATGTTTTGTTCGCTTGTTTATGTGTTTTGAAAAAAAAATTAATAAAATTTGTTAAAAAAAAAAAAAAAAGAATGGCATGTTATGTACTTCCAGCACCCAGAATCGCTTTAACAATGAGATGGGTGGTGTTCAAATCTAATAAATAAATAAAATGAAATGCCTGCATATTAATCCAAGGAGTGACCCAGATTTCTTTACCATTTAAAGTAGGATTAAAAATTGGGCACCTGGATTGTGTGGAATATTTTCCCAATTCTAAGACCTTTTAAATACTAAATTAAAATCTGCTTTTAATATAGGCTGAGGCTATTTTTTTAAAAAAAATTCTAGTTTTTACACTGGGGCTGCTACTTTCCTTTTAATATGGTGCAATTTTAATTTTAATAGTTCATGCTTGTTTTTGTGTGTTTTGCTATTTATTAGTTCTTTAAATTTTGTAGTCACATTTTGATATTCAAATTAAATTTGCCTGTAAAATAAAAATCAGAGCATTGTACTCACATGCTCTCATAAGTTCATAGACCTTTGGTGGGCAACCTTCAGGTTGTTCCATCCTGTAACCTTTCTCCAACAGATCATAAACTTGAGAAAGGTCAATGCCGGGATAGGGGGACATTCCATAAGTGGCAATCTCCCAGAGCAAAACTCCAAAAGCTGCAAATTAAGCAAGAACGTTTAAAGCTGCATTGTTTAAACGACACTGACTGTTCTTACTAAGGTATATTGAACTTCTTAACTAAAGAAAGACTATCCGGAGAATATAAAAATAGTCCCATGTAACTTTATAGTCCTGATTTACTCACATAAAATAACTCTGTATTAAAGGGTTTTTTCTCTCTTACCCCAAACATCTGATTTGATTGAAAATGTGTTGTAGGCCAAACTTTCCGGTGCTGTCCATTTGATAGGAAACTTTGCTCCAGCATGAGCTGTATAGGTATCACCCGTCATCAGTCTGCTTAATCCAAAATCAGCTACTTTCACCACATGATTTTCTCCCACCAAACAATTCCGAGCTGCTAGATCCCTATCAAAGCAAAAAGACAAGAAAAATAGCACTCCTACTTTATTCATTTATTTGTATCCCATCTTTATTATTTTTAGAAATAATTCAAGGCGGCGAACATATCCATTGTATCTTCTTCTTTCTATATTCCCCACAAATATCCTGAAAGGTATGACTGGTCCACACCAGGATGCTAGAGGAGGCATACAAATATTTTAAGATTGGATTCATGGATATAAATTGGAAATGGTTGAATAATGACTTCTGAGAATCCACAATTTTGGAACTGTGAGTATCTACAATAAATACAATGTATTTTTTTAATAAAACATTCATTTAGGAGTTCTAGGCATCAAGGAGAGAACCAAGATCCCCCACAAGTGTTCTTTACAGAGACTCCTTGTGAGACCATAAAACAGTCTTTTGGTGGGTTTCAGAGACCTGGAAGCCAAAAGAAACTCAGCTTTGCCCAAGCCACAGTTCACAGCCTTCAAACAGACATTGAATTCACACATTGCTTCTTAATCATTTCAGGAAATGCCTTTGTTTAACTCTTTTAGGAAACTTAAGAAATTTCAGAATGACACATTTCAACTTACGGTGTGATTTTCCTTCAATCCTTAGCAAAAGAAATTTTATGTAAATTTAAGAATTTGAAGAAATATTTTTTATTTTGAAGTAAAAAGCGAAAGAGTGAATCGAATGTTGATTTTAGAAAATTACAAACACACCAAGGAACCAGATTAATTAGCATTAAGATTGAGAAGCTAATTATAAAAATCCTTACGAATTGTTTAAAATCCTAGCCTAATATATGAAAATTTTGAGAATGTAATAGATGAGCATTGGCCTAGAAACCAGGAGATGATGCGTTCTAATCTTGCCTTAGGCATGAAATCAGTTGGGTAACCTTGGGCTAGTCCCTCTCTCTCAGCCCTAAGAGGGAAGCAATGGGAAACCACTTCTGAAACTACAAGTCAACCTTGACTCAAAGGCACAAAAACAAATCCTAATTGGCTATCCAGGCAGGAAATTTGAATTTCCAAGCAAAGTTGGAGCTTGTTTTGATAATGTTCTTAGCCATGTCAGCAGGTTCCATACAACCAGATCAGACCCACACTACATAAAACCAGGACAGAATAATTTGGATGCTTTTACCAAATTTTACCTCTGAGCAATTTTATCTTCTAATCTAGACCATACTAGGAATACTTGATATTAGTAGGAACACACAATGCAGATCTAGAGATTATGGGGATGGCAGAATAAACTATTGCTTTTGCTCTAAAAATGGGAAAGACTATGTCTATTGTTCCTGCTCATGAGCAGGATGCTTCGTTTCCCTAGCATCTTCAGAAAAATGTTGAGTATAGGATCTATTCTCTCCTGCTGCAAATACTGCCAGCTTCCACACATTCAATGAACCCTTTATAAACTATCATGATGGAAAGGAGACGCTGGCATCTCCAGCCAATTTTTAATTCATGTAGCTTTTTATTGAAGCACTCTAAATCACCCTTGGCAGTTCCTGTAGTTCTTGTCAAGAGGGTTTTTATGCACACAAGCAACTCAGTGTTTAGTGGCAATATGGTTCTGTAATGGAAGAAGCACAAACTCACAAGAATAACTCAAGTAAGTATTTATTGACAGACATTCCTAGCAAAATAACATCCATCAGGTCAGAAAGAGTTAAAAATGAGTAAAGAACAACAAAGAGAGAAGAAATCCCCACAGAAAGTATGAATAAAAATAAGCCAATGAAATGGAACCCTGAAAGAATTAGGAAAGACAAGAGGATTTTCTTTTTATGCAACACGTAAATTTAGTATTTGAATTTGCTATCAAGAGATGGCACAGGCTACCAGCTTGACTCACTTAAAAAAAAAAACTGGGCCAATTCATGGAAATCATGGGATCAATAGTTATTAGGCTTGACAGTAGTGTGACTGCCTTTAAAGGCCATCTGTGGGGAAACTAGTAGACTTCATTGTGCAATCAACTGACCACTGTGAGAACAGACTGCTAGACTAGATGAGCCAGGGATCTGATCCAGCAAGGCACTATTTATATATTTATTCCTTGGATACATACCACCTTGGTAAGTGTTGACTGTGTTCCCTTTAGGATCTTACCTTTATGTCCTCTCTGACCATTCTTTAAAAAGCCTTTCCTTATGTCCTATCTTTCATGATCCTTAAATATAGCACTTGGTTGGGCTTTTGATTCACTTAACCATAAAGCTGTTTCTGTAAATGTTGTCTTAATTACCTTGAACTGAAACTGGGTGCTGTTGCTGTAGGAAAACTTGTAGGCGTCTGATGGGAATGTAAAAGCTAACCTATGTTAAATCTATGGATACCTTCAGGTCACCTGGTATAATGATTGCCAGATCATCATTTGATCAATCTATATAGGTTTAACTCTGCTGTCCAATCTCTGTTTATCTCGGAAACAATTAATAAAAATCAAGAAGGTTCCTGAAAACAGTTCTTAAAATGGTACTTGCTTTATACCACTAATGTTTATTAAACGCTTGATGCATTGGGGAGGACAGAAATCTGTCTCAGTTTCTCAGAAGTTATAACAGTTGTTCTCAGCACATGACTGCTAGTTGGGTTGGCCTCCTAGATACGACAGAATTTCTGCAAGTAGTCTTCCAAACAGATCTTTTTCGTGTCATATTGAAGGTCATTTGATCTCATTGAGACTGGAAGAGTATGTTTCAGTTTTTGCCCAGCACAGGATCAGTAGGAATGCTAATGCTTGTTCTCTGAATGAAAAGCAAGTCTCTTTTTTTTGAATTGAGGAGATAAAAAAAATAAAAATGAAATAAAATTGAGAAAATTTAAAGGGGAGGAGAAGTTATATAGAAAATTGAAAATGTTAAGAAGATATGAAATGGTATGTAAAATGAATATGAAATTGAACTTGTGTCTGTACCAAGAGTTTTAACCCGGGACTAAGCAACTTTCAGAAAAGAGATTTTTTATACTTTTATGTTTTGTGTTTATGTATATTTATGTATTGTTTGTCTTGAAAAATAAAACTTGTAAAAAAAAAAAAAAGCAAGTCTCTGTTGAAAATGTTGGACCATTTCTCTGTCCCTTGTTATTTTAAAGAATTATGGGCAAGATCGTTTTCTTGCTCAAAAACAGGGAATATGGGGATTTGCCAAATAGGTTTTCTTCCTGGAAGATTTTGGAAGCAAGGCTAGCTTTGGACGGATGGTCCACCTCCCAGATTTAAGCAATAATCCCAGTGAATTGTCCTGCCCTACATTTTGGCTGTTGCAACCTGGAGGTCATCCATAGAAGATGAGCCATGAACTCAGAAACACTTGCCAGCTTATTCAGGCCCTTTCTCAAGTGTTTTACATCCGCTGGGAAATCTTGTAGCAAAAATCAGCCCCACAGTGTCAATGAATCATCACTACTTTATTATGGCTATTGATGGGGGTGTTTGCTATTTTTAAAGTCAGTTCCAGTGACTTCTTCAGAAAAGAATAGAAAGGAAGTTTTTTTTCACAATCATATAATTTAATCTGAGATCATATTAATAGTTACCTGTCAGCTCTATTATTCTGATACTCAAGAATCTTCTCATTGTCAATGGAACTAGTTTACATGAATGTACTCCTGTAGAGTGTGTACAAGGGGATAGTGTATGGAAAGCATATGGCTCTCCTAGGTCTTTGGTGCAGCTCCTACAATGTATTCCAAATTTACTTTTTTTTAAAATAAAACTTTATTTGTGTTTTCACAAAAAAAACAACATCTTTTTTTAAGCGAACAGCATGGTTCCAGGTTTTCATATCTCCATACAGATATAATCTCAGTTACATTTTCATCTTTCATATTCAATTTCATATCTTATCACTACTTTTTATATTCTCTATTGATTTTTTTCTCAAATACTTCCCTCAGGCTTATTTTATACCTTTCTCATTCATTTCTATTTCATTTCCTTTTCAAATTTTTCATATCTTCATAATAATTATACTTGTACTTTTTTCTGTCCTGTTTACAATTTCATTGCATATTCTTATTTCATCATTTCCCCAAAAATTCCTCCACATTTCAAACATTACAAAACAAGGTTTCCCCTATGGCTGCCAATTAGAGTGTGTCACCTTCATATCTTATAATTAGTTCCCTTTCAAATCCCATTAAACATTCAACTTTTAAATTGTCCCCTTAAACAGTTATAACATTCAGCTCCTAACAACTATATTATAATATATATCCCTTTTCAGTCAGATTTCGCATGGTACTTTTCCCTTAAGTTACCTCCAATACACTTTAAATTTCAAAGAAAAAAGGTAAAGAAAATAATTAATCTACTCAAATTCATACTAGAAACTGATATTGATCTCATTACAATCATTCTCATTCTTTTCAATTATATTTTATAAGTCATTAAATATAATTAATATTCATATTTTCATACCGCTTTTAACCTTATAATCTTCTTACAACAATCCTCATAATTCATTTCAATTAAATTCCATATATGAACTAATATATTTCCCATATTTCCTTTTTTTCACCTTTATTCCATTTATCTCTATATTTGATTTGACTGTTAGCAAACATTCCAATAATTAACAATACCAGTTTCATCTTCCACTTTAATAACATATATCTTCCTATTTTCTACATAGTTTATCATTTCTAATATATTTATACTATCCCTTATCACCTTGCAGAATCCTCTTAATTTTTGTTTTTAACCATTTTCTCTGTGTCTTTTAAACAAACTATTTCTTTTTATTCTTGTTTGTTTCCCATGTTTCTTTATTTCCCGATTATGTTTCTTGTAACTTCTTTTCCCCTTTATTTTCCCCCTCTTTTTCTCACACCAGTTTTTGTCCCCTTCCACTTCCTTCTGTAATCCTCCTTTCTGCTTCTTGCTTATATTTTGCTTACTTTTTGAACTGTTCTCCTTTCTAATTACCTCCTCTAATCTCCAATTTTTAATTCCCTTTTTTCCTCTTTTCGCTTCAACTCACTTTGCCCCATTTGTTTGTTAAAGATGGACTCTTCTTTAATATTCCAAATTTATTTCTGAAATGCTAATGGTTCAGAAGAGAAAAAATATTAAATGTGAGGTCACTGCATGAGTTATATTTAATTCCATTTAAAATTAATTCCATTTAAAAGATACTAAGTTTTTATTCTGATTCTCATTCAATTGGCGGATGAATCTTATTATGTCAAGGTCACAATGGATTCTGAATCCCTACACTAATTAAGAACTTTTTTATTGTCTAGTATCCCTAACTTGATAACATTAAAGCACTATATTGAAATTGTTTACTTTTTAGTATTTCATATTTATGTCAAAAACTTGCACCTAAATTTCCATTTCACATGAAAGTTTGAATCTTAATAATATACTGAGTATAGCAATACATCCTTCTGAGTATTAATGTTTTCTTCTTTGAAATTGAAGCTGAGAGCTAGTAAATGTAGAGTATTTGTTTGATTCTGCTTAAAATACTTTTTATCCAAAATTCATGTTCTTGCCTGTATCAACAGAATAACAATTCTGATGATAGAAAATCGAGCCCAATTCTGATGACAGAATACTCTAGCCCAACAAAATACTATATCCATGATAAAAGTAATTCAGAATATAAAATGTAGTCTTTAAAGATTCATAAAACACTTATACAGTCAAGATAAAGGGCGTGGTGGCTCAGTAGTTAAATACAACTGAGCTTGTCAGTTGGAAAGTTGACAGCCTAGGTTCGAGACCCAAGCATTGCGCAATGTGGTGAGCTCCCATGCTTGGCACAGCTCCTGCCTGCATTTCGAAAGTGTGGAAATGTAACCAGATAGATAGGTACTACTTTGGTGGGAACAGAGTTCTGTGCGCCTCAGCATATAATCATGTTGGCCACATGACCATGGAGACGTCTTTGAACAACACTGGTTCCCTCGGCTAAGAAATGGAGATGAGCACTGCCCCCTTAGAGTCAGAAACAACTGGACAGAGGAAACTTTACCTTTACCTTACAATCAAGATGAGACACATTTGGGGCAAAACATATACATAGGTATCTCAGCTTTCAAATATATAATATATTATGTTATCAGCCTTTTTTCAAAAGCCATGGGAAAGAAATTTGCTATTTGTCCTCAAATTAAAAAAATGATAAAACTAGGGAAAGATCCCTGAGATTTCCTTCAATTCAAATTAGCTTGGAATAAGTCAGATCAATCAAATCCTATTACATCTTCACCTTCAAGATAATGCACTGCAATTCATAGATACATTCTTACATTCCTGCTTCACTGAATGTCAAGGTTTCCTGCTGACCTGTGAATGAAATTCTTCTTCTCCAGGTACTCCATGGCAGAAGATATTTGGGTGGCCATGTACAGCAAGACAACAGCAGTCACTTCTTCCCGATTGCACTCTCGTAGGTAGTCCAGCAGGTTCCCATAGGGCATATATTCGGTTACTATATAAAAAGGGGGTTCTAGGGTACACACACCTGAAGAAACATAGGAGAGCTGGTAAATCCTTATGTACTTACGATTTTGCAGTAAAATCTAATCAGTAATTGTCAAAAGTGGTAGCACTGCATTCTACATTAAAATAAATGAGGAAAAGATTTATTTCTCACAATTAAAGAAATCCATTTTTAATGATTTTTTAAAAATTCTCTAGCAAATACTACAAAGATTTCTACACAGATAATTTTGACACAACAGAATTTACACAAGATCAAAGAGAGAGAGAGAGATTATTAACAGTACCCCAAAAGCCCCAGCCCTGCAATGTGAAACCTCATTGCTACAATGCAGTGAAAAGTCACACCACTATGGCATAGCAAGATCATGATAATTACGCCAAAAAAGGTGGATAAAGAGGAAAGTCAGCAAGATGTAGTGGCAGGGGGGGGGGAGGGGAGAGGGAGTCATAAATGAAGCGGGCCCAAATCTTTATCATATGACTGTGGTGAATTGGTCATAACTTTGAGGACCAGTTATAAGTCCATTTTAATGTCATTGTAATTTTGAACAGTTGCTAAACAAATGAATGCTAAGTAACAACCTGTAATTACATATGGTCCTCGGTTTAATTAAAAAAAAAACCTACTTCAAGAGTTCATTTTCTATTTCTGCGATAGAAGGAATCTCTCCCTCCATAACTTACTACTTAGATATTAACAAAACAAAACAGCAAGAAAGATGTATAGAAAAAACTGTTTGCCATCAAAATTAAGCAACACACCATACCGCTTTATTTTAATGACAAATTTGTTAGCAAAAAGACATTCCCATCAATGCCACTAATGTGGATAACATGTGACCCAGCCCTGATACACATGAAGCAGTGGCAATTGTTTCCCCATTAGCAAGGTGAGTCTATATTCTGGAAACCATAATAATATTTCTAGTTCTTATGGTTATGAAGAAAATGGGAATATATATTGCAATAAAAGAGATTATTTATTGAGAACAAAAAGAGAGAAAAGACTACACTAAATTTTGGGCTGGGAATGAGGGTTACAATTGGTTGAAGTTTGGAGGTTTTGTTTGCTTTAACCGTGGTTCTGAATCTACTTTTAAAAAAGCCATTGCTTTTAGGCATTTAGGCAGACTAAGAGATTAATTTCAAGCTTGAAAAATAACAAGATGGCCTTGACTGCCAATTCCACCTCTGCAACCACTTTCAACACATTTGCACAGGTTCATAGATTTAGAGAAAATCAACAATCACAGATTCATTCACTCACATAAAATATAGGAAACAAAAACTGCAAGATTGAGGTGGGATGTCATTTACTTTAAGCGGATGTAGTCTTTTCTAATAATATATCAAGTGGGTGGAAAGCTGGAGAGAAAACTCTCATGCCTAATGAGCAAGTTCAACAAATACAATTTCATCAGAGGAAAGCTTTTCCATATTTAAAGCTTTGTTCAAACTGGTCCAAAGTAAGTAAAACTTAAATACTATGCCTCAACTGTTTGATGTATGCAGTTAAAATGGAAACAAATATATACTTAAAACAAAAAGAGCAGTGTGATCAGATTTGTACACTCACCTAATAATTGTACTAGATTTGGATGCTTGATTTCCTTCATGACAGAAGCTTCTTTCAAGAACTCTTCTACCTCCATAGTATCTTCCTGGAAGTTTGATAAGACATGCCTCCTCTTAATAACCGCAATTAATTTACACAGAAATTTGGGAGCCTATGCCTTAATACAAGGGGGGCAAATGACAGACCAAGGTACATATCCAATTTCTCAGTTCTTTTTTTCCTTGTTCCCAACCCAACCATAATATACAGGAAAGTAGGAGCATACAATGGAAAGATCATGTTCAGGAGATCAACACTTCTGCAATCATGACTTTCTAAATCTTTCTAAATTGAAAAAGGTCTATCTACCGGTTGCACTGTATTTCCAGAAGTAACCAGCCAGTAGTCTCTGTATCTACTCCCAAAAAGGTATTTTCAGGTACATCATCCCTTAAATTACATTAAATATTTCAGAAAGTAATACTTTAGTTACAAACATCTGAGCTTTTCCAATGGATTGATGGTACCTCAAGCGAATGATGGAACATCTTTTCACTTGAAAGTACATCTTTTGGAAGGTTAATCTCTGCAGGAAAGGCTTTTTACCCATATATACTCTGAATAAGTCTGTGAACTGTAGCAAGATAGACACAAAGCACTATAGCAAAACTGAGGTGCTGAATCCATGTTTCTGACAGTATGTTTTGTATATATGTATATGCAGAGTGGTTGTCCTAACCAAGAATTTGAAATTTCCAGCTTACAGAAAGAAGGAAAATGTCAGACAGTTTTAATAGGCACCATTTTTTAAATGTGCGGAAGAAGAGCATCTCTATTTGTACAGGTAGTCCTCAACTTAAGACCAAAACTGAGTCTGGAACTTCCATTATTAAGCAACATGGTCATTAAGTGAATTGTGCCCAATTTTATTATGTATTTTCCATGGTTGTTAAGCAAACTGGCTTCTCCCGTTGGCTTTGCTTGTCGGAAATTGGCTTGGGAAGGTTATAAATGGTGACCATGAGATGCCAAGATGCTGTAATCATCACAAATGCATGTTGATTGCCAAGCCCCTGAATCACAATCACACGACCACAGGGATGTTATGATAAATGCAAAGACTAGTTGCAAGTCACTTTTTTCAGCACTATTGTAACTTCAAACGATCCCTTCATGAATGATTTAAAGCTCAGGACTGTCTTTAAAAATCTGCCAGTATTAAACAGCCCAAGTTCACAAGGTTTGTGCTTTTGTAGTCACAAACCTTTGATATTCATGACCTCAGCAAGCAGACAAGTACTCTAGGCCTAGCAGTATACACGTCAGATGCATTTCAATAACACCACAATGCTCCCATGACTGCAATCGTACCTTGAGTGTTTTCACTGCAACTGTAAGGTTATATTTCTTCCATACCCCAACATACACTTCACCATATTGTCCTCCCCCGAGTTTGTGCTTCATGGTGATATCTGTTCTTTCCATCTCCCATTTGTCATGGATGGGTGACACTCCATAGACTGTGGGCTTATTGCACTTGGGTGCTGGGTAGTGCAAAGTTGTTACAAGGCCATCAGCTACTGTTGAGTGGTGGTGAACTAGTTCTGCCAATGTGTTAAAGCGACTTTCAGCTGTCACATATACCTGTTAAAGAGGAAATGAAGACCTTATATAAACTGGTCAATATGCAACATGAAAACATAAGCAAGTGAGAAAAAAATTCCCTCTTCTCTCCAAATCATTTTCCTGAAACAAAATAATCAATAGTTTATGAAAAGAAAACAAAGCCTTATGAAATATTCTGACTATTAAGAGATAGGCCTTATTCTTGAGATTACTCTCTCAGCACAGAAAATACGGAGGAAGCAAAGACAAAGATGAAAACTTGCAATAAGAATTGGAGAAGAAAAGATTTTAAAGGCCCTGGGAATCTTTTGATTTTTGTCAGCAGCCAACCTATCATCTTCTTTCCTGTAAAAGAGAGGAAACAGGGCTATATGTAGAAATATAGACAAGAGTGATTTATGGGAAAGATGGTGGACTGAAGATGGCTCTGAAAAAAGTGAGGCCAACATTTGCAGCCATTGGTAGGGGCCAATGAGTAGATTGGCCTACAGTCTTCTTTGGATAAAGCGAGAGAACAAGAATGAACAAAGTTGTTCTCCTTATGAATGCTCTTCATGAGGAAACTACAAGATAGTTGTCTCTGAAAGGGGTGTGTGTATGTGTTTTATATATGTTAATTAAGAGAAGATGAAGAGATTGTGATGAGGATAGGAAGTTGCTTTATTGGAGGGCTTCTTTTTCCTTTTTGCACTTTTTTTCTTATTTTAGTCTATTTTTTTTATTGCATCTAAAACTTAATAAAATTATTACAAAAAATAGAAACAAATATTTCTCTTTTAAACTTTTGTTTTCTCTTTTGGGGAATGCATGTATACCTTAATACTTTAATGTTATAATCTAATTCTTGAGCGGAAAGCTTCCAACCATTGGGCTTAATTCAAGTTTCCCAATCCAGTCCATGGAATATTTCTGACACATAGCCTTTTAATCACAATTCAGGTAGTCTTTGACTTCAGTCCCTACAATTGGGATTGGAATTTCTGCTGATAAGCAATGTGATTGTTAGAAGAAACATATGACCGCGCTACTTAGTGACAGCAACTCTAGTACTCCCAGTTGAGGTTGTTAGGCTAGGACAGCATCATTGTTAAATAAGTGCCTCATACTTTCTGCTGCCCTGTTTCAACCACCACCACCCCGCCTCCTGCCATCTATCTCCCCCATGTCTGCCCTTTTGACTGACCTGAACTCTGTCACCTACTTCTGCTGGCCTCTGACCTTTGCCTACTGGCAGCTGACCTTTGTACTAATCCAGGATCCAGATGCTGAGAGAGGGTCCAGCCCTGGGATACACAAAATGTGCCAGGGTGGTGGAGACTTGTATGCTGAAGGGCCAACTAGAGAAGAGGCACTGCGACAGTGAGACTGTTTCCAGACAAGGAAGGAAGCTGATGCCAGCTTTCCAGTGAAGGTAGAGGCTGTGTGGGAGATGCTGGTCAGGGTAGTAGTAGAGGTGGAGAAACTAGTGGGATGTGAGCTTCCTGCAGATGAGTACACATTCTGCAGCTTATGCTGGAATATCTTCTGGAAAAACTAGTCTGCAGGCTTCAGAGAAGGATAGAGAAAAGTTCAGCATGGGCAAAGCCTACCTGCAAGCTCTCTACTGACTCCTGGCCCAGCCTTTCTCAAGCAAAACCTCACAAAAGGCCAGTAATTTCCAATATGCTGAAGCCTGTAGGCCAGTTCTCAAGGAGTGCTCATGTTGCTGACCATTTGTGAGATTTGCAGGAGGAAGGTTGGGCTGAGTTCAAGCAAAGGATTTGTGAGCTGGGCTTGCCTCCATCCCTCACTGAAGTCTGCAGACTAGTTTTCCAGAAGCACTTTCAACACAAGCTGCAGAGTGTAAGCTGTGCCTCTGGGAGTCCTACATCCCCTGTTTCCTCCAGTTGTACTGTCATCACAAACAGTCCCTCCCCTCACAGTCTCAACAGTTGCTCAGGAAACTGACGCCTGCTCTCCTGCCTTGCTTGGCAACATACAATATCATGCTTCACTGTCCTGCTGCTTCCTCTTCGGCCACGCCTGATTAGCTTCCTTTGACAGATGAAGCTCTGCTACTCTACTGCACTGATCACACGCCTCCCAGGGCTGCATTTTCCCAGAGCCTGGATCCAAGAAGAAGTAGTTAGTGAAAGTCAGGTGGCCAACATCCAAATTTTGATCATGTGACCATGGAGGTGCTATAATGGCTACAAGTCATAAGTCCATATTTTTCCAGTACTACTGTAACCTTGGACAGCTTGAATTAATGGTTGTAAATTGAGGACTACCTGTATTGTCATCTTAGACTTTGCTTCTTCTGTATTTTCTGCTTGGACAGTTCTGAGGTTTGCTCCAGGTACTTTGGCCTTGCGATGAGTAGTTTGTCCAGAAAGCAACTGGGAAATCATCATTATTTTCTGGAATAACATGTGACTATTTGATCTTGCTTCCTTTTAGTGATTTTCAACTTGATTATTAGAGCAGTATTTGTCCCTCTTCATAATAAGCCTAGCAACTGACCCTGCCTACTATCTCCAAGGGATTTATCTAAAGAATTAGGACCAATAACCTTTATTTTCCAAGAAATGAACCCACTACAATTAAGAATTTCCACGCTTTCTATTTTTCATTTAGAATGATCAAGGTATACATAACTTTTCAAACAATGTTTCAAAAATAAAAAAGATTAATAGAACAAATCTACATTGCTGTAAATCTGTCACATCAGAATTACTACAAGAGTAACTTTCTCATGGCTCAGTATCCGAATATATCATAACCCATTAGTTATAAGAATTTAACCAATGGAGTGTTTGTCTCCCAAAATGGCTTTCTTCAATTTCTGCAAAATAATGCAGAAGGGAATGGTGCTGATACGAATAGAAAATAGAAACTTTTATCTCAGTGCTTCCTTGATATTTGATCAGTGGCTAATCAACTTGTGCAACACAAAATCAGAAGGACATCCCTTGCTAGAAAAACACTTACTCTTAACAAAGGTAGATGGAATTACAGAATAGGAAGCATTTGCTTAAAAACTTGTATATTTAAGATTTCTGTGGCCTGGGGGGAGTTCCAGTTTGCAGGGCTTCAGAGGCAGGCAGGAATCCGCGATCGTGCGCGGTTTCTGCCTGGGCTCGCCGCTGGAGCGTCCCGAGCCAGCTGGCTTCGGGGCTAAGCCACCCCGTAGAGGTGGTAAAGACGGGGCAGACCCAGCAGGGTTTGAGGGGAGCCGCACCTCTCCTCCTCAGCTGGCTAAACTCCCTTTCCCAAAGGCAGTAAGAGCGGCGGTCAGAAATGGCCGCCTCCAAGAAGCACTCAGCCGGAAAAGAAAGCACAGGAGGAAGTTAAGAAGTGAAAGTTTTTGGCTGACCGGGACAAAAAGTAACAACCAAGGTACCCTGGAATTTAAATTTTGCAAAAGATACATCACCCCCAAAGAAGAGTCGGAAGCAGCGAACGAAAGTGAAAAGGGAAAGTATTTTTTTTCTTCACTGTTCTTCCTCACGCTGATAACAAGAAGATCTGAATAAAGAAATCGGAAAAATCTGCTTTGGCACCAACAGGTAATTAAGCTGGAAATATAATTAAATGCCAAAGGGACAATAAAGATTTCTAAACACTAAAAAATCCTTTTTTTGCTATAAGTGGGAAGGGAGAGAAAAAGAACAAGGGCAGGACTTGGAAGGAGGAGACTGCTTGGAATTCAAAAGAATTTAAAGTTAAATCTTAACAAGACTTCTAAAGGATACATTTTAACTGGAACTTTGCAACTAAATAGTAACCCCAAGAAGAGAAAGTGAAAAAAGAAGAAAGTGTTAAAAGAAATAGCTTGTGTGTATTTGGATTGCTTGGTGATTTTGGGACTTTTGGAAATCATATTTGAATGACTAAAAACAATTGTGTGGTTGTTGTTTTTTAAAAAAACCAAAAACTCTACAATGGCATCACCTCTGGATGAACTGAATGAACTGGATGAATTGAAAATCGAATTTAAAAAATATAAAGAAGAGGAACAAGAAGGGAAGGGCTCCTTTGGCTCCATCTTTCAATTCTTAGAAATGGCGATTGGTGTCTACAAGAAACAAGAAAAGACTGTGCAACAAGAAGATTGGGACAAAGAAGAAGCCATTTTTAATGAACAAGTAATTCTATCTGGGGAAGAAAAGGGAAAGGGGGGAAAGAGAATGGAGAATTTAAGACCTAAAAAAACAGCCAAAAAAGGGAAAAATAATGTGAAAAGGGGATATAATGTTGGAAAATAACAGAAAAGGGGAATACAGAAGAGGGAAATGGAGGTGGAGAGACAGGGGGGTAAAAAGGGGAGAGAGAAGAAAGGGAAAAAGGAAGGGAAGAGAAGTTACAAAGGTTTGGAGCAAGATGTAAAGAAACAGGATTTATTCATAGATAATGGGTGAAAATTTAACCGAAAAAGGGATTCTGTAAAGGTACATAAGATTGTATTGTTATATTTGTAATAGAAATAATGTTAGAAAATTGGAAACAACATATGATTAAAAAGTGGAATAAAATAGTTAGTGTAATTTAGTGAAACTTTTGTGAACAAAATAAATGAAATGAAATAAATGAGAGATTTGAACTAGGAAGGAATGGGCACATTTTAACTACTCAACGTTTTATAAAATATAAGTGAAGTGAGAGGGAAGTAATTATGGAAAGCTTGTGTTTCCATAGAAATATGATACTTATTTGAAAAGTAATGTGTAAAATGTTCAAGATTTAAATGAATATTAATATTAATGATAGAATCGAATTGGTATGGATTGTTGTTTTAATTATGTTATAAATTTATAATTTTTTCTTTTTAAAATACATTGTGTAGTTTTAGAATGTACCAAGCAGAATCCGAACGGAAGTTATGTATTATATTAAGTGTTATCATTTTAGGGGAAAGATATAAAGGCGTCATACTCCAATCAGTGATCACAGGAGAAATTTTGCTTAATGAGAAAAGATAATAGACAGCTGAAACAGGACAGACAAGGAATATAAGTATGATGATTTGAATTGAGATGAAATAAATAAAATAAAATTAAGAAAGTTGAAAGAGGGGAGAAGTTATATAGAAAATGTAGAATGATAATAAGATATGTGTTAGGGATAACATTGTTTTACCCTAACTGTTTTAGGTAAAGATAATAAAATGATGAATCATGGTTTGTCAGATAAAGTGTATGTGACTTTAAGCTAAAGGAATGTAATTAAGGGTGCAGCTGTAAAAGTACTATATAAGCAGCAAGGCACTCTCTGGCTCTTACTGGCTGGCTTATTGAAGACTGCGTTCTTGCTGGATCGGGGAGGAGAAGAAGTGTTGGATTACTTTGAAGATATTTTCTCAACGGAGAGAAAATAAAGATTGGACAGATTTATTGTAAGTGTACTGACATTGGCTATTCAACACGGACTTTGCAAATAGAGTATCCCCGACAAGACTTGAATGAAATTGATATATGACTAATGGACCGTTTATTTGACTAAGCTATAATTCTTAAATGGAATAAACTATATTTTTGATAGCACAAGCGTATATGTATTTTTACTGCATGTTAACGAGAAGGCTTATCTCACACATTTACCTGTCTTCCTATCTGACTTCGCTGCACATTCTGTTTAGTTTGTTTTCCTTAACACCCGTTGGGGAATCCAGGCTTAACAATATGGAATGGAATATAAAAATAAGCATGAATTTGAATTTGTGTCTGCACGAAGAGATGTAACCCGGGATCAGGCTGCTTTCAAAAAAGATGTTTTATGTTTTTATGTTCTATGTTTTGTTTGTTTATGTTTGTTTTTAAAAATCAAAAAAAAAATTCAAAAAAAAAAAAAGATTTCTGTGGCCCAAACGTTATATACATATAGATGTACTGTATTTACGCAGAAAAGGTTTCTCAGAACAGATTTACCTTGCCATCTGTGGTGGTATTGATCCTGTAGTGGTAAACACGTCCCTCGTACCTGAGTGAGATTGACAGCTGTCCTGGACTGCTCTCACTTTCTCGAACAAGGAAGCTGCCATTAATGAGGCTGCTCAACAGATATTCAGCTGCACTGCGTGATACTGGTCCATGATACCAGGAATGCTTCTCCAGGCTGTTTACTGGAGTGATGTAGTTACTTGGCACCCATCCTTGTCCATTTTTGGAGCGTACTTCACTCCATTCACCATTTTGATTGTAACCCAATACACGTAGCTTCTCACCTAAGACAAAGAGAAGACTCCAAATAGATAAAATGGGATTTATTTTAAAGTTGGCCTTGTCCTAACCATATAAGAAATAGTCTCATTCACACAAACAAGAATATCATAGAAGTAGTAACACCTAGAAATTAAGCACAGAGAGTATATCTTTGTGTACCATGTTAAATGTCCCGAGATGTCTCTCACAAAACAGATAGAACAGATAATTTCTTTGTATTACTCCACTGTCTCATAAATGACAGTTTTATAGATTTTCTGTTCTATAATTTTCACCATAAACATCACCATATTGCACAACATGTTTCCTTAATATTCATCATGGATAAACTTATTCAATAAGCATTGACCTGATACTATAATACTATTTCCAATGTGTTTAATTTAGCACAATATATGAACCTGCTTATAATGACTTAGTACTGCATGAACCAGTACTGAGTTCATCAGAACACAGATTAAAATATTCTTGCTTTAACATTATGTGTGAACTATACCATTTTGTGCATCTGATATTAGGCTTATAAAAGTGTGAAGCATTAAAAAGTACAGGAATGAGAAAGCATCATAATTATGACCAGTAGAAATCAGACAATGGAATAGCAGATTCAGGAATATGAAAAGCATATGCTTGAATTACCAAAGGAGACTTAAATTCTGTAAATCAGAAGATTTTTTCAGTTGTACTACACACCAAAAGTACTGAGGATCTCAAATTTATTAGGACAGACAGATACTAGTTTGAATTATATGATCAGACCAAACCAAGTAAAAATCCAAGGTTACAGAAAATTAACTGAATGAAATGATGACAGACTGTTGGGTGCCAAGGTATTGATAATGTGGGATACCAAAGTCAATACTCACAGATCTTTATACAAGAGAAATAAGGTATTTTGGGGGGGGGGATACTAAGTGACATTTGGAATTATTATAGCCTCTAATATGTCAATTTACAAAATGGCTGTCACAGGAGACTTGCCTAATCCCAAAATGATAACCATAATCGGTATTATCATCTTGAAGCACTCATCTCTGATGTCACCAAATTGGTATTCCAATATTTAATAATTTTACTGCATCAAAGATTTTAGGAAAAAGTTCTGGTTGCTCTTCCGTCGTGGTTGGAGCGGAATCCACAATCGTGCATAGTTTCACTCTGAGCTCACTTGTTGGAGGATCCAACTGGGACCAGAACCACCCTAGAGGGGTGGTGAAGAAAGGGGAGAATCGCTTGGAGGGTCGAGGGGGAGCTGCATCTCCCCTCCCTGACAGGATAAACCCCCTCCAAAGACATGTTGCAGCAGTGGTCAAAATGGCCACCACAAAGATGGGAAGTAGTCCGGGAAACTAAGACTTTGCTGGAGAGGTGACGTTGTGAGTAGAGTGTGAACCAGGCTAAACATATGGATATTAAGGTACCCGGAATTAAGGAATAAAGAACTATTTTGTGAAAGTGTGTAGAAGCAGTGAACGGAGAGGGAAAATAGGAAATTGGAACTCATAAAACTGGCTTTGAATATTGAAAGAATTAATTTGGAGGTGAAAATTTAGAAGAAAATATTTGGACACAAAAGGGTAATGTGTTGTGATATATAAGAACAAGGAATTGAATGAAACATTTTCATAATTAATTGAATATATTAATATTTTTGCAATATATAGATAATTTACAAGGTGATTGAGAGAAAGAATATCATGCAGAATCTGACTTAAAATATATGTATATGTAATATGTAGTCGACAGAAGAATATTGTTATTAATGTAGAATGAGATAATTATAATGAATTAAAGGGAATAAATGGAGGTAAAGCACAAGGCAAATAGGTGGTAAGCTCAAATGAACAACTAAGGGGGACAATTTTATAATTAATAGAATAAGGATGGAATTATTGAATAATAAATGAAATAACAGTATGTAATAAAATTGCAAATATGAGATAAAACTGTTATGTATAATGAATATAGAAAAGAAATAAGAATCCTAGATAATATTGTAAAGCAAGATATGAGAATATTTTAAGAAAAATGAAATAAGCTATGAACTGAAATTTGATAAAATAGATTTAATGACTGTAATATTTGGGAATATTTAAAAGAAAATAGAATAAGTAATAATGTGATATGAATTTGAACAAGAAAGAAGGATATGTAACTATGGTCATGTTTGTATTGAAATGTAAAAACTTGGAACCACACTGCTCGCCAAAAGAGATGTTTTTTTAAAATATATATAGAGAAACAAAAAAAGAAATTGAATAATTACATTATTATGTATGATTAAATAATATGGTGATTGGCATTAGAAGAAGGTATTGGAATGTTGAATAATTAAACAATGAAGGATCATAAATTATTATAAATATGTGCATCAATATTAGAATTATAAGTGTGTTGAATATAAGGGATGTGATTAATGTTGCTATTTCTGTTTGCACCAAAATGCATGATGATTAGGTGCCACACTGTTTATGTATTGATGATTATAAGTAGAATAAATAAAAAACTTGATTAAAAAAAGATTTTAGGAAAAAGCTCCAACAGAATCATTTAAAAAAAAAAAATCCACCTGTCAAACTGGCGGCCTGCAGGCCAGATGCGTCATGTGCAGGCCACACCCACCCCAGCTCTGCGAATGGGGAAAACCTCAGAAAACTTCACATGAAGGCAATGTGATGCCACAAGTTGGACACCTGTGTCCTAGAAGTATGTAAAGATAACCTGGGGCTTAAATAGTATCTTGATATAGTGTCTATATATCAGGAGTTAGAGAGTGGATAACCATTCTGCAAAGTAAAAAAAAAATTTTTTAAAGGAGTGGGGAGGCAAGGCAATTGTGGCTGATCATAGTGAAAAGAGCAACAAGACTAAGAATAGCAAGAACTGAGTAATCAAGGGACCACATGTGCAGACCACATGGCGAACACATGTGCAGATTCAATCTTGATATGAGAAAGATGGCAAAATGTATGTTTTTTTAATAAAGAACCAAGAGAATTAGACCAGATACTAACAGGGACGGATGAAAAACTAATGAAGAAAATGTATAACTATTTATTAAGTATTAAATTGGAAAGTGAGCAAGTAAAAGAAACAATGATAGCTTGGGCTAAGAATTTTGGATATACAATAGAACTGAATAAATGGCAAAAGTTCTGGGATAAAAATGTTAAATTAACTACCGTATTTGCCGGCGTATAAGACGACCCCCCCACTTGGAGGCATGTTTTTCAGGGCAAAAAAGTCATCTTATACGCTGACAAATATGGTAACTAATCATCCAATATTTACACAGTGTATATGTTATTCTGTGTTGGGAGTGAAGGATGTTTGAACTCTCTTAGATGGACTGTCTAAAGGAGCGTGTCTCGGAGTAGGCAGGCGTTACTCCAGAACCCTGGCCCTTCCCGGCGGAGTCCCTCGGGCTTTCCCGCAACAGAGTCCTCTTGCAACGCGTCCGCTAGGTCAGCCAAATGATCCCGGCGGGGTCACTGGAAACGCCCTCCAGAAATCCCCGGGGCTGCAGCGGCAGGGCGGAGTGCCAGGGGCCGTGGGAGGAGCAGGAAGGCGGGCCGCCCTGCCTGGGGCGACAGGAGCGACCCACGCTCTCGCTCCCCCCAGTCGCTGCAGCCTCGGGCGGAGCGAGGCGAGCGGGATTCGAACCTGATTCAGAGACGCGGGGAGGCTCTTGGCGGAAGCGACGCGGGGGATCCGGGAGGCCAGAGGCGCCTTCGCTGCGTCCCACAAGCATCCGAAAGCCGGCAGTGGATATACCGTATTTGCCGGCGTATAAGACGACCCCCCCACTTGGAGGCATGTTTTTCAGGGCAAAAAAGTCATCTTATACGCCGGCAAATACGGTATGTCAACTGCACATAAAGAAAATTTGTATAAAATTAGTATAAAATAGATAGCATTTTTCACCAACAAAATTGGCAAAGATGTTTTAAGGACATGTCCACACCAAGTGTTGGAAATATAATCAGACACCTGGTTTATATTATCATACGTGGTGGACATGCCCAAAGGCAAAAAAAATGGACAAAACACGGTTGGAAAAAATGACAAAACATCACATAGATCTTAAACCTGAAATATTTTTGCTGGGCATCTTACTGGAAAAATGTGATAGAGGGAAAATATATTTGATTTTACATGATTTTACAGTTTACAATTCTGCAGCTAGAATTGTTTTTGCACAACAATGGAAAAATGAAGAGATCCCACCAGATGAAAACGTAATTAAAAAAATATTAGAATCTGCAGAGATGGATAGATTAACATTGACAATTAAGGAAAAGGAGGAAACTGAATATTTTTTGACATGGTTGGCTAACAGAAACAAAAGCTGAAAACATGGAAATGTAAGAAAAGAACTAATGTTATAAGAGAGATTTGTTAAAATGATAAGCAAACATTATTTACTGTTCAATTGAAATCGAATTTTTTATGGGTTATAACATAAGAATAAAAAAACTTTAATAAAAAATACTAAGAATATTTGCCTGGACAGAATGGGCAAAAGATACAACTATGATATATATAGCTTACTGCTAAATCATAGCAGGCCTGTCATCCAATGCAATCTAGATGGAGAACTGCTGTTATGCCTCATTTCTTGATTCAAAAGTTGTTACACAAAAAGCTTCAATGTGCTCTTAGTAGCAAATTAAATAGTACACTATCACAGAGAAAATAATTCAATTTCTAAGAGCATGTTTTAACAGAACAAGTTAACAAGTGACAACGCAAATATGGAATAATAAATGTATTCCAATGTTATTTCTCTTAAGTGTCTTGTAGATTTGAGCAAAAAATTAATACAGTATAAGCCATGTTTGTTGCTTACGCAATGAATCTGAAGTCATCTGAAGGAAACAGAACTACTCTTTCACATATGTACATCAAATTCAGAGTTCACTTTGAAATTCAAAGTGTTCTATAACCCTGGCACATAATTCTCTTTTCTGACTAGATCAATGAAATTCAAGGTTTTACATACGACTATTCATTTTGACACTTTAGTAATAGTTGCCTATTTTTCACCAATGTTACAAATCACATTACACAATACTATTTTAGATAAAAATATTTTAATAGTTTAATGAAATAAAATATTGAGCTTGGTAAATGTAATTTTTAAATCAAATGTAAATAAATTTTGGGTTGATTTCATTTGCCAAGAAAAATAAAAATAAAATAAAAAGGAATATATTTTCCTACATTTAAAGACTCTAAGAAAGTGCAATCCCCTCCCATTTTGATGAAAAGTTGTAAGATATATTTAGTTCATTGCACGCTCAATGATTTTCCCACATTTGATAATCCTATCATTTCTGCGCCCATCCACTTTTCCTATAATAATCACTGCTCTGGCATTTTCAATAAGTACATTTTATTACTACTGTTACTATTAATGCATGCCAAAGATTTGTTTCTAATTACATTCATATGTGCTCTCATAGGCATAAACAGGAGGCAATTATGTTTACCTTTGGTGATGCTGAGTGTGTTGTCACCACTTGCTACAAAATCATAAAGTGCAACAAAAAGATTGGGGTCACTCTCAGTGGCTCCTAGAAGATTCTCCTTGGAACTCCACCTGATGGCTTCATTCAGTGCCTGTGGTTCAGTGTCACAACCAAAAGGGCGGTGGAGAGCCTCTGAGAAGAGAAGAGGAGAGGAGAGGAGAGGAGAGGAGAAGAGAGGAGAGAAGAGAAGAGAAAAAAGAATTATTTTCTTTTCTTTGAAATTTAATAATATAGTGAATGTAGTCCTGAATGGCACATAAAAATCAAGTTTAGATACAATTTCATAATCAAAAGACTAGCAGAAATAATATAAAATTTGAAGTCTTCTGCTTAAAAGGATTAGAACTTTTCATGTCACACATGCAAAGCTTCGTCAACAGGAATGTTGTTAAGCACATGGAACAATGGAATGGACAAGAGGATTATGGAGTTGTTCTCTTGATCTGTACATAATCAGTAGCATCTAGCATCCATTTGCTTTGCCAGCTAGTGAAGCTCCATCAACTAACTAATGAAACAAACATTAAAAAACAAACTGAATGCCTGAGAAAATGCCATTAACATCTGACCACAATCCACTTTATATTATCTATGTGCGCACTCTTAAGAGACATACACATAGATATTTAATTGTACTAGATCAAGAGTCAATATATTATTTAAAAAATAGTATGTACAGGTAGACCATGCTTACTAATTGTGTCATTCAGTTTGTAATGGAGTTAGCCCATTATGTTCATATGTTGTGATAGTTGTAAAATGGGCTGGTCACATTACAAACTGATTTTATGATCTTTTTTCCAGCAGACATTGGTCTGCTATGGGCACAGTTTTGCCATAAATCAGAAGTGCTGGTTTTCAGCAAAACTATCATGGTCATATGACTGTGGGACGCTGCAAACAGTTGTAAATGAAGCCATGTTGCACAAGCACCTGAAGTTCGATCATATAACTGCAGAGGGCCCCCAACTGTTAGAACTTTGAATCTGGGTCACAAGTCCTATTTTACAAGTATGTCATAACTTTGAATGGTTGTTAAGTCAAAGACTACCTGTACTGATTATATCTTATCACATGCCAGTGGATGATCTCTTCTAGTGGCTTTATGGGGAGATAGGATAGCTCCTCGATGGAGGACTAAGGTCTACCAACTGAAATCAAATGTAAAAAACAGTGCTCTTTTCCCTCATCCTCCCAATTCTGAATTCTTGGAGATGATCCAGAATGTAACTGAGACAGCAAGCAGAATCAGAATGATTGTATTCCCTCATCCCAGATTTACCACAGGTCATCAATAAGACTGACCAATATAGTTTTAGTTTAACCTCCAATTAAAATTACAGGCACTTTCTGTAATAAGAAGCAAAAAGATTGCAATAATCTCAAATATCTCAATGATAAATCTCTTTCTTTAATCTCTTTTAGAAATTCTGACAAATATGTAACAATCTCTTATAATGGAAAAATGTAAAAAGGTCTTAATAATTACAATTGAAACAAGTGTTTCATCAAATGTATTACTTTCAACCATTCTCACCAATTACTAATAAAAAGGTGGCAAACTGCCCATCCTCCTTTCTGAGCCAGTAAGATCCCTGTAAATCAAACTTTAATACACTTTTAATCCTTTAAAGAACTTCAAGAGAGAAACATACATTTTTACACAGTGATAGAATAAGAGCCATGCAAAACATTGTTTCTCAAGAATACCTTTCAAATCAAGAAAATTGGAAGTAGACACCTCTTCAGAAAAGGAGCATAGTTGTTCATCACACTCTCTGTCAAAACTACTTGACTGAAGCACTATCTCCACAATCATGCTGCTTCTTAACAGAAAGCCAATCCAACCACTACCCCAAATTTAAAAGTCCTCCTGCAACACAGCATGCTATGCACATTACTGAAAAGAACAGGGGCCAACAGGAAAGGCAAGACAGTTGGTGTGGGAGGGGAAGCAATGAGCGAAGCATTCTTTTTAGCAACTGGAAACAGGAGACATGGAACTTTTCCAACTGCTAGGAAGCAAGGAACAAATTCTATGTTCAAACATTTCTGAAAGTGATAGGATAAAACAATGAAATTAATTCATAGTTTAGAATAAAGATTGCTGAATAGAAAATATTTTTCCTCTTTAGCTGACAGTTAACACACAATATTTTTCAGTGTGTATAAAATTAAATCATGATTTTGGTGTGACCTCTTCATGAGTTACTAGTTTATGTTTTTAGCAAAGGACAAATGTCCAATACCAGCTGTCAAATTTGCTTGGCTTTCAACTTGATACAAGATTGCATTCAGACAACATAGCAAGCCTGGCTTATGGCAGAACTGTAATTTTTACCCATTATTTTGAGCTGTACGTCATGAATATTCAGTGCAGGTAATCTCCATTGATGACCACAATAATGCCTAGAATTACGGCCATAAGTCATGCTGACTATTAAGTGGATCATCATGTGCCCAATCTATATGACTTTTTTTTTGCTGTGGTGGTTAAGCAAACATAGCAGTCATAAAGCGAATAGCATGGTCATTATGCAAATGCCACAGGCGTTATATGAACTCATTGTTTGCAATGGCATTTTTTTGCCAGAAACCAGAAGTAAACACTGGTTTCTGGAAAAAAAACCTATAGTAAATCATGGTCATATGACCACAGGACATGGCAAATGGCTGTAAATGAGAGATAGTTGCCAAGCACACAAAATGCAATCATGTGATCCTGGAGGGAGGATGCTAGAACTTCAAATCTGGGACAGAAGTACCATTTGGGGGAGTCTGTCATGATTTCAAATGGTCACTAAACAATTGTTGTAAGTTCAGCACTACCTGTAACTGCACTGTTATTAGTGTCTATATTTTTAGAGGAGATTGTTGGGAGGGTGCTTGGTGCTTAGCTACAAATGGCCCTAGATGAAGCAGACTAACTCTTTTCAGTCTAGGATCAAGCCAAGGTACAGTACTGAGATGGCATTGGTTACAGCAGATGACCTCTGGAGGGCATAAGATGGGCAGCTATCCTGAGCCTCCTGAATGTCTCAGTGGCTTTCAATACCAAGGCATCTGGTATAATGTCACTTTTTTCAGTGCCATTGTAACTTTGAACTGTCATTACATGAACTGCGGTAAGTCAAGGACTATCTGTACTGCTATTTTCAAAACAGCTACATCTCTAAATGTACTTTCCAGTGAAGGCAGTCCATTATAAGTTATTTTAAGGAAATATCCTTGAAAGGATGACCCACTTGGTCACAGGTTGTCTAGTTAACATTCAAACTTTCCTGACATAGGGCCTAACTATCTCAGGTCTGTCTATGTCCCTTAGGGCCTGTCCCAGTGGTGGGATTCAAAAACTTTTACCACCAGTTCGGTGGGCGCGCTTCGTGCACGGGCATGCCAAACACGCATTCTGCAGGCGCAGAGGCGTTTGCGCAGGCGCAGAGGCGTTCCAACTCACCTCCCACAAGCTTGCACTCCCCCGGTCGCTTCAGCAGCTGCCACGCAGCACTCTTCTGTACCGTGCCAAGCAGCTGTGCTTCAAAAGCAGAAGATAAAGGTGCGTATGGGAACCTGGGCGGGCGTGTGGGCCCAACAGCAGAGCAGGGGAGAGAACCAGTTTGGTCTCTGCTGCTCATCGCCGCTACTGGCTCAGCAGACTGGGCAGAACCGGTGGCATACCACCACTGGTCTGTCCATCCTGTTTTGATCTTATCATTGGAATGCTCCAAATACAGTCGATAAAACATATGTCAAAGACATATGAATTATGTGTGTCAATACACTGTTAGCTTGTACAAAGCCCTATCTAATTCCAATATATTAGAGTTTAATTTTCATAATAAACCATTAACACACAGGACTGTTCAGGAACCATATAAGTTGCAAAATGTAAACTGTGAACTTAAAATGGCCTGGATTTAACATTAATTCACCCTCATTTCCAATATCTGCTGAATATTCCATACCTGGCTTTACTTCAGGACAAAGGGCACAAATATGTTCAGCAGCTTATAACATAGCAAATTAAAACATTACACATTCTATCCTCTGCAAATCAAAGAAAACATCCACGTTCATCCCTATGCAGGACATATGTCATCGATCATTATTTTAAGAACCTTCCTCCCACACAAAATGAAAGCTAACTTGACTGCTATTACATCACTCCATCCTTTGGTGTAAGTGGAATGTCATAAAAGACTTATCAGCCGAGTATCAGCTGTTTGTCTTGAGAGGCCCCATTAACATTTGTCTCTACTACACCTGTCTTTGCAATTTACCAGTCTTACGATTCAGTTGTCTATACACTCCAAGAAGAATACCAAAAAGAAAACCACAGGGCAAACAGAGCAAAGTCTCTGCTTATTTAGTTGTTTTATACTCCCACCTCTTAAGAAATCAATTACATCAAACTTTTCAGAAATGTAAAATCTTTGTGAAAGCAACCTTTGAAAACACAGTAAACAGCATACTAGAGTTATGATTCTAATAGGACACAAACATTACACCCACATCTTTACTCAAAGTTGCAGGGACCAATGTAAATCCTACTATTTTTTCCTACCCTGGAATGACCAGAAATGTAACCTAGAATCCTACAAATAATTGTGATAATACAATAAAAAACATAAAATAATTAGCAATGTTTTGCTAATTTTAAACTTTACTATACTTTTGCACATCCTCCAAGTCTAGCTGTGCTTCCTCAATGCGTTGGTGGGATAAGTAAAGAATGCTGGGAAGAATATATATAATCCTAGTAGAATCACCCAAGACCTGAAGATCATCCCAACTGCTCAGCTAAAGCAAGCAGCCACTTATACTTGAGCCAATCACTCTCTTTCAGCCCAACTCACCTCACAGGGTAATTGCTCTGGAGAAAATAGGAGGAGGAAGATGTGTTAGATATGTCCATGGCCATGAGTTATTTGTAAAAATAATAAAGATGGGATATAAATATATAAATATTGTATTCAGCAGCAGCAATATATGAAGATACTTGAGGTACAAGGACATTTTCATGTTTCATCTCAAAGGCAATGAGAAACCAACACAAAGATCTCAGCACAGAAGTTAAAGTATTTCAGGCAACTATTAGACAAGAAATTCAGATGCAGGTTGCAAACTCAAAT